AAATTTGTGATCTTCCTGCCTCAGCCTCCCAGAGTTCTGGAATTATAGGCCCGTGTCACTGTGCCCAACTCAAGGTAGACTCTTGTCCCTCACTTTAGAAGCCATCTGATGCCAGGTCCTGTTGGTTCTGTGCCTCGAACACTGGGACTTCCTCTACATCTCTGTCCCCCAGTCACTAAGCACATCCTTAGCCCTTTGGCCTGGGCTTGCTTTAGTAGTTGTCCTCCAACCCATTTTCCCTACCACAATTGTAAGAGTCTTAAGCATGAATCTGATTGTATTTAAAGCAATCACTGAAGTCTCTCAATCACTGATAAAGTAAGGTCTTGATTTATTTTGCACAATCCATGGGGTGCTCCACACAGCACCCCAGCCCCGCTCTCCTTACTGCCTCTGTGTTTTTGTGTTGCAATGCTGTGGACTCTCTTATCCTCTGGGGAATTCTCATCGCCTTTTAAGATTCAGCTCAAATGGCACAACCTCCGTAAAGCCTAGCTTCGACCCTGAAGGTCTCATGATACTTTGCCTACTTAATTATTTACATGTATTGTTTTCATCTCACCAAACTGTCCAAGCCAAGGGGACAGGAGTCATTAAGTCTGAGCCGGTCCCGCCCTTGTCTCCCAGCACATTTCCTGGTAGGTACTGGGCGTTCAGTTCTCCATCAACATCTCAGAAGGCTTCCCATGTGCCAGGCACTGTGCTACGTGAGGGGAATGAAGAGCTGAAAGGACTCAGTGCCTGTCCTTTAGGAAGGTAGAGATTAGCAGGTTCATTCATTCCATAAGCATTTAGCACCTTCTATGTGCCAAGAATGTGCTGTATCACAGATACGTGACAGTGTCTCTGCCAGACAGTGAGACCACGAGGAAAGGACAGGATGGAGCAGGTCCTTGTCCTAGAGCAGTGTATAGTGCATTGGAGAAGACAGATGACAGGTGAACAGCAAACACATGAAAATTATATTGTGATTGTGGGAGAAATCCTTAAATCCATGGTGCTCAGGAAAGTATGTGGAAACAACACCATAGTGACACTTAAATTCAAGCCATGGGAGCTGAGGAAGAGCCCTTGACCAAGAGGAAGCACAGCCAGGGCCCTGCCACAGGGTGAGCCAGTGTGGTTGTCCTTGCACCTCCTGAGAACCAGAGTACCTGGGCACAGTGAACGAGGAAGGGCAGCTATGAGAAGCAGCAGGGGACAGGGCCAGCTCACACAGGGCTGCTGTAGAGCTTGAGTTTTAGTCTTCCCTAAGCCTCAAATATGGGCTGAATAAATGAATCAAAATGCTTTCCGATGTTCCAGCCACGCCACAGGCTCCCAGGCAGTGCTTCTGGCAGGACGGGTAGGCTTGGGATGGGAGCACCTGAGGCTCCAGGATGGGCAGCTGAGTGCGGTAACTAAGGACGCAAGGTCTGGACCTGGCTCAGGGCCAGCTCTAGCTCTTCTGCTCAAGGCTGCAGCTCTTTGTGTTCTAAGCCTTAAAATGAGATTGACTGTTCCCACCTCATCAGGTATTGAAGATGGAGAAGGACTAATAAAGTGGTTGGAATATTGCCTGCCACAGACTAAGAACTCAGTACACTTCAGCAGGAAGTCTAGATCCATGCCCCGGCTCAGAAAGCCGGATACCCTTGGCAAGCCGCTGTCCTTTCTGGGCCTCTGCTACTCAAGTCAGTGGTACACAGCAGTAGACCCTGACCCAGGGTCCTGTGTGAGCTTGCCACACGGGAAGGAAGGCTCTGCAGCACCGAGGCAGTGTTCATGGTCCAGACTTCTAGAAAGATCTACACTGACTCTTGTCTTGTTTTAGGAGGCGATGGCTAAGGAAGCCAAGGGCGTCATTCAGCAGCAGAAGAAAAAGTTCTCTCTTGATGAAATGATCCAGGAAGCCCAAAACTTTGTGGGGAAAATCCGCTTCCTGGTTGATGAGGTAAACAACTCCAAAGGCAAGCTGTTGAGATTAGATGAATGGCTCCTTCAAGAAGCCTGGTGGGGCTAGGTGTAAAAGATAGGTTGATGTTTTCGCCAAGCATGCTGAGTACTCAGGTGCTACTCACTTAGGGATGAGACAGATTGTTTAAATTAAAAAGTGTGGTTTTATTGCTTTTTATAAAGTCTCTCTATCCTTCAAAATAAAAATCATTCTTCCTCTTTGACTCAAGAAAAATCAAAATACTAACTGCCATCATGGGAACTTTGTGGTCTTTTTTTTTTTTTTTTAATGTATTTGTTACAGAGTCTCACTACACCAGCACACCCGTACACAGTTGCTGGCTCAGCATGCCCAAGGGCGGGGCTGGCACAGTGTGCTGTACCATGGATCGAACCTTGATCCCTGTGTGCTTGCCTAAGCAGGCACTTAGTCTGCTGAGCTATCTCTCCGGCCCTCATCATGGGAACTGTGATCAGGTTCAACTTTAAGAAGATCTAACCTGGCCCTAATGATTATTATTTTGTTGTTGTTCAGGGAATCAAACTCAGGACCCTGCACTTGCCCTAACGTAAAGGTCCCACAGCATCTCATTTTAAACTTAGTTGTAGGCAGGGTCTTCCAGAATGCTGTTGAAAGGGCCCTTGTATTTGCATCTGTCAGACACTGAAGCTCTTTCTTGAAGCCTGTAAACATGTAGAAACTTCTTAAATCAGGTTTGTGAGAAAGTTCTCAGGGAGAAGTAGAGATTTACTGCTGTTAGTCTTGCAAGTTAGAGTTGTCCCCCAAATCAGTCATTCCCTGGAGCCACATGCAGGAGAGGAACAGGCAGTCAATAAATGTGGGAATTTTGGTGAGGAGCCAGAAGGTTTAAACCAGGCCTGAAGTGTGCAAGTCAGTGACTGATTGGGCCGGGCCAGGAAAACTGCCCCATCTCCACTAGCAGGTCAGAGAGAAGATGGCACTTCCGGGCCAGTTCTGTCTGAGTGCTGGTGGGGAGCAAAACAGACCCCCTACTGCCAGCTCAGGAGCAGCACACCCTACTTCATGAAGGGCCAGCGCCTTCCTGTTTTGATAGATTGATTCATAAATTGTCATTTCAACACTCACAGTGTAGTGGGAAACTTGGTGTGGAGATCTGCTCTTCTTATCTTTAAAAAAGATCACTTATTTATTTATTTATTTATTTGGTGCAAGGTCTCGCTGCGCAGCTTGGACTCCTAGTGATCCTGCTGTCTCAGCCTCCCCGCGCTGGGATTACAGCTGTGTGCCACCACGCCTGGTTTTTGTGGCCTGGTGAACCCAGGGCTCTGGGGCTGGTGTGGCCTTTGTTACTGGAGCTCAAACTTGGGTCCTTGCACTTGGGAGGCAGACACTTAGACCACTGAGTTATCTCCCCAGCCTGCACTTTTTACCTTTTTAAAATTCATTTTAAGGAGAAAAAAGGATAAAATGCAATGAAACAGTTTCGAAACAGAATAGGACAGCTTCAATAATTAATACATTGCAAATTGTTGTCTTCATAGTAGTCATTCATACTACAAGATATAGACATGGTATACAGACAGGTCATACGTAGTAGTCTAAACACTCTTAGCACAAACCTTTCTTCTCAATGAACTAAGAGAAAGTAGCAGGATATCTATCCTAACTATCTTTTGTATGCAAAAGGTCCTTTAGAGACTTCTCCAAATACAGCTCCTCTAACTGCAATAGAACACATATCTCTGACAAAACAAAATAAAAAGAGGGATATGTTGGAAGCCATGGAAGCTAGGAAATCAATCGAATATGTGTAGTCAGGACTGGGCCTCAATGCCTAAAGCAAACACGCTATCTCGGTCCTGAGATAAACATCCTGTCTGGTTAAAGTCAGCTATTAGTCACTAGAAAACCTTGTGTCATATGTTACTAACTTTGTAAAAGTATAAATAAAATATCATTTGTTGTCAAAAAATATATATGCAGTTCTTATCTTGATTAGTAGAAGTTTAAATTCTATTTTTCTGCACATCTTGGGCTTATCTGAAGTAACTACCTAACTAGCATACCTGGCGATTGTATTCTGTGTATCAGATTTCTTGAAGACTTGCCTTCCTTTCCTGAGATCAGGTGGAAGGCCACTCAGGGACATCATGTACGTTTGTCTTTGTCTTTTCTTTTGAGTATTTTGGAAAGGTTACCTGACTCTAAGAGGTCTAGCACTTTGAAGCTAAATGTTACTGCACTAGAAAAACAAATCCATGGGAGGTTGTAGAAAATATTTGTCCTCCAAATAGAGAGAAGCAGGCTATCAAAGGTGCCAAGCCATAGGCCAGGAGTGAGCTCAGAGCCCAGGGTGCAGTGTGGCCTATGGGATTTACATGTGCTTCATGACCTGGGGCTTCTCTTTTGAGGAAGTGGCACTAAGCTTGTTTGATTGCCCAGATGTTGAAGGACCCGGGATCACAGTACAGAGCATTTTGCAGGAGAGGGACTCTTTCGAGAGAGGGGAATGGATGCTAGAGGTGCGTGTGCCCGACACCAGCCCACCCAGCCCCGTTCCCTCCGCACGCAGCCGCAGCACACCATCCCTGATGTCTTCATCTGGATGCTGAGCAACAACAGGAGAGTGGCATACGCCCGCGTCGCCGCCAAAGACCTGCTCTACTCCCCCGCCAGGGAGCAGATGGGCAGGCACTGTGGGAAGATCAAAACTCATTTCCTCAAAGTAAGTCTGCTCTATTTTTGACTACAAGGTGAGAAAGTTCTATTTTTCTTGAGTGGCTCAGAATTCCCAGTCCAGGTCCGTATCTTTGACTCTTCCCAGGGCTTTCGAAGGTAGGAGGACAGCTAGAACTTCTACCTGTCTTGATCAAACTGCAACCCAAGAGACCACCTTGGGGCCAAAGCCATCCTGATCTTCCAGTCACCGTGTCACCGGGTGCATGCACGGTTTTTTATTTTGGAAGCCAAGGACTGCATCTTAGGGGGCTTTGATTTTTATTTATTTGGTTACTAGTGAAAATGAACATTTTTCTCTTAGTTCCTCATGGACTGTTCTCTTGTGTAATCTGTCCATGGTGGATTTTTTATGAGTTATCTATATTTTCAGAATGGACCTCATTAAATATATATAGTTAATACATATTAATTAAAAAGAAAACCACAAGAGGAATAGAACTCCAGTTTTGGATTCATGGTGACTTTATATTTTTTAATATTTTTTATTTTTGGGTTTTTTGAGACAAGGTCTCACTTTATAGTTTAGGTTTACCTTCAACTCATTATGTAGCCCAGTCTAGCTTCAAATTCACAGCGATCCTCCTAACTTACCCTCCTGAATGCTGGGATTCCAGGCATCCACTACTGTATCTGGTATTCTAGTGACTTTAGATTGTAAAAATATGACAGTGCTAGCCCAGTGTGGTGTGGTATGCCTGTAATTCCAGTACTATGGGAGGCAGAGGCAGCAGGATAACAAGTTCAATCCCACCCGGGCAATTTAGTGACTTAGTGAGACCCTGTCTCAAAATAAAAAAGGGGCAAAGGATCTAGCTCAGTGTGAAGTGTGAAGGCCCTGAGTTTAATCCCCAGTGTCACATGCACAAACAATGACAGCCTGAACGAACTGAGGTCTGTGCTTACTTTACAATGAGAAGGCCCCAGGTTCTCTCAGGGGGCTCTCATAGACATGGTGGCCGGGTATTTTACCCCTTCCACAAACACATTTGTAGCCCAGCAAATAAAAATAAGCAAATATGAAGAAAAGTGGTTCTAAGCCGTACTGTTATCACTGATGAGCAACAAGAACAGGAATCTCCTGACGAATTTCCCAACTGTCCTGCCAGTTTCAGTTCTGGTTCCTCGCTGCCCCCAGGGGCAGGGTGAGCATGCTCAGGTTCCTCTCAGATGAGGGACAGGTGAAGAAAGCGTTGCTTCACAGGGGACAGAAGACCTGCTCACGTGAGAGAGCTTTGCCAGTGCTTGGGGGTCACCATGGAGCTGGTGATGGCGGAAGAGAGAGGGAAAGAGGGGAGAAAGAGCAAGCGGAAGAGGAGGGAGAGGAAGCAAGGGAGGGGAGGGCAGGCAGGGGGAGGAAAGGGGCGAGACCAGAGGATGAAAGGCGCCCCCACAAGCACGGGCTCTGAGGGCAGGTGATGCTGGACTGGAACCCACCCCAGTTTGCTAGAGCTGCTGCGCTGAAGCTTCGCACACTGACTGACCTGGCAGCAGAAACTTCGTATTCCCTACAATCCCAAAGAGCAGAGATCTTGGCTCAAGATGTTGACAGGACCATGCTTGCTTTGAAGATGTCAGGGAGAGAGATGTCGTAGGGGCTTCAGGGGTGGCTTTAGGACCTCTGGAGGCTCACAGCACCCAGCGAGTTAGGAGGCCACAGAGCCCCGCAGCCAGGAAACGGTCCCCAACCAGAAGAGCCACTACTGCGTCAAGAAACTTCCATTCTTCAGGGCCCGGGCTGGGACTGTTTCAGGCAGTTCTTTGGCTAGGGCTAGCACTGCTCTTTACACGGCGATCCCTGTGTGTCCGCGTTCCTGTCTCTTCAGGCAGGCTTCCAGGCCCACCCTACCCCAGCACCGTGCCATTTTAACTAGAATAACTCCATCTGCAGTAATCCTATTTCCAAGCAAGGCAACAAGCTGAGCATGAAGAAACAGGACATCAGCATGTGAAATTGGAGGGGACGGAATTCTGCCCATCTCAGAATTCCAGGGTCAGTGTTTACAGGCTGTTAAGATCGTGGACAAGAACATTCACCCCATTTTTATTCATGGTTGTGAGGATCAGGTGAAGAAATCCAAGCAAAGAGCACATAGTTATCTGTCACCCACAGTAACCACCTAGCAAGCACTAGCGTGTGAACAACGGTGCACCCTACACCCTGGAGAATGCTGCTGTCATTGTGTGTCCCCTTCACATTCGGTCAGTGCTTTGTGATGTGACATGTTAGTTTTTGTGAGGTTATAAAATAACTCTTGAACTCACTGACATAAAACTATAAATGAAAAAATTACCAGTCATTCTAAACAAATATTAGATATTTTCTTTAAATTTCACCATTTAAGGAATGCTAAGGCAAAACACGTTTGTCTTAAAAATAGCAAATTATTACAAAAAAAACCCCATGCTAAAAATACTAGAAAGTAGTATAAAGTTACTGTCTCTTAAATATTTTGATATGTCCTGGCACTATTTAAATTAGAGCAAAGAAGAGCTCTCAAATAAAGCCAGAGGCTATCCGTAACTGAGAGCAGAGAACACTGCGGCATTCTTCACATGTGTATTATTGGAGGCAGTACGTCTGTAAATCCCAACTCTCTTTTTTATCTCTGTTGCCCGTGGTAACTTTCTGGTCTTGCTGAATTCTATTCTGTCTACATGATGAAGGATCTTGAAGGATCTTGATAAGATGACTCAGCAAAACTGTTCTCAGCCCTGCTTTGATTGCCACCCCTGATTTTAACTTCCTAACCCCTCCTTTTATGCCCCTTTGTCCTCCTGGAACTGGCAAGCCTGAAAAAGGCAAGACCTGGGCCAGGGAGTCCCAGTCATCCCACACCTGATACTCATTCTCATTTCCTAGTGAAGAATTAGAAGGCAGGAAGAAAAGCATAGACCGTAAATCTTGATGCACCTTTAGGCCAGAGCTGTCTCAAAGTTTATTCTGTTCCCAGCTGTCTTTAAATGGCTCTGTAAATGTCCCATGTCCACACACCTTTGGAAGTGGTAGGTGTAGCTTTGGAAACTGGAGTTTCAGTGTCCACCAATGAGGTAGGAGGTCCAAGGAGTCCTGTAGCAGGAAACATCTGGCTTTTCAAACATGCATTCACCAAACCCAATTCCCCAGATGAGCTACTCAGGATTTCAGGCAGCTTCTGTTCTTCAGGGCCCCGTTAATGTAGAAGGGACAAAGGTTGTATTGCCCTGGGATCAGTCCTCAGCATGAGAATGAGAGAAGGAATAAGAGGGGGAGAGAGAGGAGAGAGAGGAGAGGGGAGCTCCTCTCTGATCCCTTAGATCTCCCTCGTTCTGAGCTCTGGAGGGGCCAGGCTGTCTCTGTGCTGTGATGGTCTCCTGGTCCACGCCCTCAGCAGAAGCTCACTAGCACTTCCAGTAGTGCACACTTGAGTTGCTCCAAATCCACTTCTGGAACCCACAGAGCAAGATAGGAAGGTGAACGGACAGCGATGCTCAGCTTGGAGTCAGGGGCTCACCCCAGGGCCTTGGAAATCGGCAGGCAGGTTCTAGCCTGTCCTAATGGGATCTTGTGATCCCCAAGGAAAGGAAGTGGAGTAGGAGACAAGAGTGACTGATAGGAAATTCTGAAGAGGCAATTAGAAGAGTCCACAGAATCTGAAGAGACAACAGTTTCTTAATAGCCACCAGCTACTCACAGAAGGCTGGCTGTGTCAGCCGCCCTGCGCGGAAGCCGGCCTCGGGCTTGGGCTCTGTAGGTGGGGGCAGGGGCTCTGTGGAGCTGCTGCTGCGGGTGCAAAACAAAGGAGTCCTGCGGCCTGCTTGAGCATTGTCTTTTCCATCCGGGTCTCAGGAGTCTGTGCACCACACACACATGCACACACACGTGTATATATGCACACTCACCACATACGCAGATATAAACATGAACACAAAAATCAAGCACACTCACAAATCTGAGTGCATTCTCAAGAGCAGAAACAGTGGTCAGGGAGCCGGAATAGCACAGCAGGATGAAGGGTTCCGGTCAAGGCCACAAGGTGTGGGAAGACAGCTTCCTTCGGGAGCTCAGAGTCCTGCCACGGAAAGAGGAGCATGGAGCTCTTCTGAGTGAAGCAAAGAACTGGAAGCTGGGTTTAGAACTCTTGGATTTGGGGATTTTCCTCGGTGTGGTGGAGATGTGGGCTGGGGGTTCAGAGGCAGGACTGTGGGATCATCTCTTCCGGGTTGGCGCCTCGGCTCTGTCACCAAGAACTGAAGCATCTTGGGCAGTTTGTTTAACCTTTCTGAGCCCAAGTTCCCTCATCCATAAATGAAGGCAGTAAATACATCCACCTCTTAGCTTCAACAGACCCAGGACTTGGAGGTGCAGTTAAGCCTCAGGCCCCGCAAACCTGGATCCGCCTCTGAAGCTGTGCGTTGCGCTAACCGCGCTCATTTCTCCTGTTGTGACATAAGCAGAGTCTCTGAAGATCTCTGAACAAACCTCCGGGTGTCTCAAGCAGTCTTCCTTGTCGCCTTTCCCCAGCTCCCTGGGAAACGTCCAGCAGGGTGGGCAGTGCAGGCCAAGGTCGACGTGTACCTGTGGCTGGGCCCCACAGGATTCTCCGGCGCCATGTTGGACAACCTGCCAGCAGGCTATGAGGCAGAGCTGCCCTCCACAGCAGCCGGCGCTCGTCGCCCTCCATCCAGCCTGCTCTACCCAGGTACGGGCTCGGGGGCAGTGGGGCGTCGGGTGCCTCTGGTGGGCCTGTGAGCAGACAGTGGGCAGGCAGCCTGCCCGAGCTGTTGGCACATTATTTTAGGCCAGCGTATTTACCTTCTCTGTCCCAGTTCCAAAGTGTTCCTCCTTAGTTTCAATGTTCCATTTAAAAGTGTAGAGAAGTCTTTAAGCACATCTGGAGTAAACATTTATGCTTTCCTGTTGATGGAGGGAAACCACCTTGAGTTTCTTTGTAGGCAGACTAGATAGGTGGAGTCTCCATGTTAGTGTTAATGAGTTCTTCAGTGGTATGGATTCGGGCGCTGAGGCAGGCTTTCCTTTGTACGTGGCGTGGAGGTTTTGATCTATTCCCAAGTCCCAGTGGTGACCAGATTCTGGTACCAGTGGAGAGAAATCCTGGTGGTGTCCCTCATATTTCTCTTTTTCTTTTCTTTCTTTTTTTTTTTTTAAATGTATTTAGAACAGGGTCTACAGGGTCTCACTATGCAGCTTGGACTCATAGTGATCCTCCGGTTTTCAGCCTTCCAAGCACTGGGATTACGGGCCCCACCATGCCTAGTCTCAGTCACCACCTCAGTGTGCCCCAGGGGGCAGGGCAGGCATGGCACACCAAGGATTGAACTCTGGCCACTGTGCTCTGCCTAAGCAGGTGCTTTAGTCCACTGAGCTATCTGGCCGGCCCTATCACTCATGTCTTTTTAGCTCAGTCCTTGACTGGGTTTACCAGTCAGCACACTTGAAGAAATCCTTTCTTCCATGTAGTTATTTTCACGTCAGCGCACTTATCTTTTCATACAATTTTGAATTTCAGTATAGACATTACAGACTTGCAAATGCATTTGGCTTCCCATTTCCTGATGGCTTTAATTTCCACGGTATTGGCTGCTGAATCAGATGCAGCAGATGCAGTTTTAGCTTCTGGCTACTGAAGCTGAGTTTTGAATACAGCCAGTACCAGAAACTCTGGAGAGCAGTGTCCACATCCACATGTCCTAGTGCAAGGCTCCTACACATAGAGTAACCTGGACTGCCAAGGAATCTAAGTGGACCAGGAGTCAGAGAAGACAGGGTCCTGGGAGGGACTGGCAGTGCCCCAGCCGTGGTGTCTGTACCCCATGTCAATGGGCAGGAGCAATGTGGTGTTTGGAGGGAGGGCTGGTGCATACTACCCATTCCTTCCCACGCACGGTACCCTGTGCCTCATAGAGGACAGCTTCTTTATTTCCCACATCATCACCGGCAGGTTGATATTGCAAATGGAGAGCGTCTGTATCAGAGATGCTTGAAAGCTGCCTAGGAGCACACAAGGCCCTAGTCGCTTTCTTGTGGATGGGACAGACACCCCACGCCCAAAACTCAAAGGAGGCGAGGTTTATTTGGGCTCAGTGCTTTTTGAGGTTTCAGTTTGTAATAGGCTGACTCCAGGACAGAAGGAAAGACCTGGGGGAAAGGCTTGGGTGGAGGAAAACTGATCGCATCGTGGAAGACAGGAAGCAGGAAGAAGAGAAGGGCTGGCAGGGACCGCCTCTTCTGACCAGGCCCGCCTTCCAGAGCTGCATTCAGAGACACACTTACCAGGGGATGAGTCCAGGGATGGGTGCGGTGCCCCACGATTCAGTCGCCTTCCAGAAGCCCTGCCTCAGCACACATCAGGCTCTGGGGGGACATCTGAGACCTAAGCTATAGCACGCAGCTAATAAATAATGGAGCAAGTCCTCTCCGAGTCCTGCTCCTCTCTTTTAACTGTTTTCCATCCTGTCTTGCAAGAGCTTCTGTTTTGGAGTAAATAACAGCCACACCAAGTCTGTTTCCTGTTTCTGTAGATACTATCTCTAGAGACCCAAAGACCAAGACATGCTTGCTGTTCTAGCTGCTGAAAATGTAGGGGTAGGGGGAGTCTTTCCCCCGTGCTTTCCAGTCCCCTGCAGCATGTCGTTTTCATGGGGTGACCTGATAAACCTCTCCTGCTGTGCCCTGACATTGATGGCTTTGGCTGCCCTCCATACCAGCTGGAGAGTTCCATGCCCCAGAGAATACCCATGCTGTGAATAATTAGCTTGCGTCTGTTAGGGTTTGTGTGTATTTGTTCCCCCAAAGCCTCACACAGTCATTGAGGCGCAGTTCTACAGTTTGTGAATAATTCATGATCTGAGGCTGGGATTATGGTCTGAGTATTGCTAGGATTATGGGTCTGAGTACAGCTGGGATTATGGGTGTGAGTGCTACACCCAGCCTGGGGCAGATAGCCTGAATGTAACATAAGAGAGGCAGAGAGATAGACAGGCTTGCTCTCTGTTGCCATTGATGCTGTTGATCCTGCTATTTGCTCTTGCTCTTTGCCACTGCCATGAACTGCTGCCTTCTTCCATGTGCCGCTCTGCCTTGCGGCCAGCTAAGCATGGACTGAAACCTCCACTAACTGTGAGCTAAGTAAACCTTTCCTTTGTTTTGGGTGTTGGGTACTTGCCCACAAACAAGAGAAAAGTAACCGAGGTAGCATCTAAACATGGAAGGCACAGTGGGAAAGGTAGTGGCGGCGTAGATGAGTGAGAGGAGACGCTGACCCTCAGGCACAGTCACATGAGTGAGAGGAGACGCTGACCCTCAGGAACAATCACACACAGCTCTCCTGAAGGTCAGGGAGATGCTCTGCAGAAAAAGAGAAGGACACCTGGGTGAGAGCTAGTTCATTCCAAGGAACAGAGCTAGTGGGACTCAAGGCCTCAAAATACAGGAACTTGGACTGAGTAATCCTCCTCTCCCCAGAGCTGTTCAGGGATGCTTGTTGAGGACTATGTTTCCAGGATTAGTCATTTCAAGGCAGCTGAGGGACAGTCTCAAGTTCTTTTCCAGATGAGAAATTTGCCACTGTGTAGTCCGCTAAAGAATACATGAGGGGCCAGTGAGATAGCTCAGCAGACTAAGCACCTTCTTAGGCAAGTGCAGGGACTGGGGTCTGATCCCCGCACCACTGCCATGCCAGCCCCACTCCTGGGTGTGCTGAGCCTGCCACCAAGACCAGCCATGGTAACGCACACCTATAATCTCAGTGATGGAGAGGCTGAAAGCAGGAGGATCAGCAGTACAAGTGTGAGCTGCATAGTGAGTCCCTGTACCAAATACATTAAAAAAAGAATCCATGAGCTAGCCCCTAACACGTTTCTCCCAGAAAATCTTTGCATCATCTACTGACCATTGCATTGCTTACCGTCGTCATTTCAAGGGGCTCCTTCTCCGGTAGGGCCCAAGCAAATCCTCCCAGTATGCACACCCCGTGCCATCTGAGGCATTGTCACATAGGTCCACAGAAACAAATACTTTTCTAACAGAAGGATGGAAAACACTGGAAAGAAAGAGTTTGGAGATAGTTTGCGCCATCACGTATTAACTGTGTGTTATGGCTTAGATATAAACTGTCCCTCCAGTACCTCACATGTTCAGAGGTGGGTTTTGGAAGGTGATTGGATCATGGGGTGTGGCACTCATTGGTGAATACACCCATCAGTTGATCAGTGCAATCAGGGAACCTTTAAAACTGAGTCCAAAGTAGTCACTCTTCATTCCCTGACTTGATCAGAGCTTAGCGACACCATGCTGTGTGTAACTGGACTTAATTGGAAAAGACTCAGAGTTCAAGTTTCCAAATTCTTTGGAGGACTCTGTTTCCAGGATTAGTCATTTCAAGGCAGCTGAGGGACAGTCTCAAGTTCTTTTCCGGGTGAGAAATTTGCCACTGTGTAGCATGCTAAAGTTGACACGAGGGGCCTGCAAGATAGCTCAGCAGACCAACAGTGATAACATTGTTGAGTTCTCGTGCTCCATGATGGTCTCCATGGTAGCCAGGCAGCAGCATGGAGTGGGGGGACAGGAATGGGAGCAGGTCCCCCTTTAGTCCTTGGGTCTCAGGACCATCAAGGAAGGAATCGCCTTCAGGGGCCCTGCTCTTTTGCACCCCTCCTCCACTTGGGGACCAAGCCACGTGGCACCAACTGCTGCAGTGCCTCTCCCACCCTCAAGCCAGTCTCTCCAGCAGCGTGTGAGACCTGATCCTTCGAACTTCCCACCACAGCAGGCAGGGCGGCCTCCCCAGCATCCCTCTGTCCTTCGCAAACTTGATTCAGTTGTATCCTCCTGGCACTTTGCGCTCATATCTTCATAGTTTGTGCGTGCACTGCTGGGCATTCCTCCCTCAGTCAGGCCTCAAGCCCCGCAGCAATTTGGCCACCATTGCTGGGGACCCTGGGTGCTGGCCAGAGCCAGCTGCATTCTTGCCTCTACGTTGCGTAGGCTTTTTTTTTAATTTTTAGTTTTTATCATACATCTGTGCAGTGCGAGAAGACTGCATTCATTGTGAGGAATTGGTACGTGTGCATGACGGATCTCCATCCTCCCCGACACACCCCTGAGCCCTGTTCTTCCTTGCTCAATCCTGCTGCAGCCACTTGAGGCCCTAGCCTTGGCTCTGGCCCTTAGGAGTGTGCACTCAGCCTGTCACTGGCTGGCAGGAAGGAGGGAGGGCTGAACAGACATCTCAGGACATTTATTGAGTTTAATGAAATATAAGCTATTGGGCCAGGGAGATGGCTCAGTAGAATAGGTGCTTGCCTGGCAAGCACAAGGTCCTGAGTTCAATCCCTGGAACCACAAAAAAAAAAAAAAGAAAGAAATAAAAGCTATTTGTGGAATAGGTCCCCTGAAAAATCAGAAATAGAATTACTGGGGAGTAAACTATGAAATTTTAGAAAAAGAAGTGGATTTTGGAAGAAGTAGAATCCAGGCTCTGCGCCCTTGGGAAGTATTTTGTCCTCGTCACAGCCCATTTTCCTCAGCTATACAGTGGGGGTGACCATGTGGATGGCACAGGTGGTTGTGAAGACGAAGATACACAACAAGCAGAAGCATGAGAGAGCGCCTGGCCCGCAGGTCTCTATCCGTGGTTCCTCTGTCCTCTCCCAGGCTTCCAGCGAGTCACAGCGGTGCCCGTAGTCACCTTCCTTTGTCTGCAGATGCAACGCTCACGTTGCGTGTGCTGCTCCTGCCAAGGCTAACACCTGCCCTCCCTGTGGTCTCTCCCCAGCCCGGCACGTCTTCCAGCTGAGAGCGCACATGTACCAAGCCCGGGGCCTCATCGCAGCCGACAGCAATGGGCTTTCTGACCCCTTTGCCAGGGTCACATTCCTGTCGCAATGCCAGACCACAAAGGTAAGCAGAAACCAGCTGCTTCTCTGCAGCCTGTGACCGGGAAGAGAAACTAAGACACAGGAACACAGCTGGGTCTCTGCATGTGCAGGAGGGGTAAGGTGAGCGAGGGCCATTGTCCCCTGAGAGCTGCTGTCCCAAGGCAGAGGGAGGGAATTCTGAGGCAAAGGGAAGTGGGGAGAAAAAGAGGAATGTGGGGGGAGCAGAACCCCCAGTCCTGAAGAGGGCAGGCACTGGGAGCAGGGTGAGGACCGTGAAGGCGGGAACAGTGGAGAACAGTGGAGAAGGGCCCAGCAGTGCTGGTGGTGGTGGCAGGGGGAGTGCTCTTACTGACAGCCAGAAAGTTCTAGACTCTACACCAGGCTAAGGGTCTCTGCACACTTTCAACCCTTCCATACTTCAAACCCTTTCTCTAGAAACTGTCCCGGGAGTTGCAGGAGACAGGTGTGTGTGCCCTGCTCCTTGGTTCTTTCTCCCTTTGCGGGTGCTTTCTTAAGAGGTCTCGTGCTCTAAGGATTCAGTCTGTTCTCTGGCTTCCTGCACAGAGCGAGTAACTGCTGCCTGTCTGGAAAGGCAGGACACGGGCTCTGGGGCTGCTCTCCAGCTCCTCTACCCTCCAGCTGTGTGACTTCAGGCGAACCCCACAACTCACTGCCTCTCAGGCTGGCCGTCTTATGACAGGGATGTCATGAAGATGGGAAGAGTTAAGTGTAGAGAATGAGTAACAGTGGCCAGGATATTGGCTGGTGCTGGAGGATAACATTTTCGTGCAGGGCACCGTCTATGACCCTGTTGATGGCTTAGACTGTGCTTGATTTATGATGCGCAGGCTGAAAGCATGATGGGAACCAGCCTCCCAGCCTTTTGCCCGCATGCGCAGGCTGCTAGCCCAGGCAGCCTGTGAAGGGTGTGGGACCCGGCTGCTCCCAAACGTGCAACCCAGGCCCGACACGGGCATTCTCCCCTGTAGAACAGGCGGTACAGAGCCTCACTCCAGCAGGGGAGAGAGCTGTGTCCTGCCTGGGAGGGGAGCTGGGAGAGACCCCACGAAGAAGATGATTCCATTCTCATTCCATGACAGCATGAAAACAAGAGCACAGCGCCTGTTGCTCCCCTGGCCTTTGAGTGGTCGTGTGCAGTGCAGCGACTATAAACGTCAAGCCCAACCCCGACGCCCAGGTGCTAACCCAAGGTCCTACTTATTGACTATGTGATGTTAAGCAAAACCTGGAGGACGACAGCGATGGGTGGAGCTCACAGAGGGGAACAACCCCCCACCCCCACACACAGTGCTCAGCCAAGACAGCTTCCACGTGGTTTGTAGCTCTTCCTCAAAATAAGGGGACTTACAAAGCGTGGACCATCCTCCGAGGCCACAACCTTGTGGCATCCCAGACCCTCTGCAGTGACCCTAGAGGGCAGTATGGAGACAGCTGGGCTCCTGGAACGGCCATAAATGCCATTATTTTGCATCTCCAGTATCTTCATTTGATTTATATCCATATCTCAAAGAAATAGATGGGCTTTGTTAATCAAGTAATTGAGAGGGAAAATAATTTCCATTGAGCCCTGGACTTTGCCCCCCTGATTTTGAAACAGGTACCTATTTTTTGTTAATCCCAGCTGTCATTTAGTAAAATCGCCCCTCGTGCCACACATGGTGCCAAGCAATTCCTATTCATGGTTTGGCACACCCACTTAGCCCACGGGTGGGCGTCATGACTAGCCCCACTCTGCAAGCAATAAAGGTAAGGCTCAGAGCCTTTAGAGCTAGGTGGTGGTGGAGCCAAGACTGAAGCCCATGTTCAGCCAGGTGCAAGTTTGTTTATCTGAATCACTTGTTTCCATTTGGGGAAGAAGGGATCCCAGTTTTTCTCCCCAGTTTTAGTGATGAGGGGACCAGTCTGCAGAAGGCAGGCCTCCTCCTCAAAATCTTTGTGATGGGGAGAGCAGAACCCAGATCCTCACAGGCACAGCTGGGCCAGAGTTCTCACGGGCACCCTCATGGCCTGACCCCCTGGTGTGCAGAAGAGCCAGCCTCAGCGGTGCTGGGCCTGCTAACCAGCCCTTCACCAAGTGACTCAGTAGTCTGGGGAATTTCAAAGAGGGGAGCCCAGTTATTGCAAGGTCACTGAGGAAACTGGACTTGGAGGACAATAGGAGAGGGAGACAGGCTGTTGTAGAGAAGGGCTGTGGAGAAGGAGGGCAGAGGGGCTGGGGGCTTCGAGGGAACATTAGGGAGAGGACGGGAGGGCGTCGTAGGGGAGGGAAGCATGTGGCTCGGGCTCTGTGATCAGGACAGTGCCCAGTTCCCCGAGCATGGAAGCCTGGCCGGGGTTGAGCCAGGTGCCAAGGCCAGAGGGCGGCAGGCATTTGGGTTTTGTTTTAATTTTGTGGTACTGGGCAAGCACTTTAGCACTGAGCTACACTCCAGCTGAAAATGTTTGCTCATTTATAAATGAGTATGGTCTGGGATGCAGCGTGCGTGCGTGTGTGTGTGTGTGTGTGTGTGTGTGCACATGCATGCAAGCATAGGTGCACATGTGTGTGAAAGCCTTTGTTGAGTAGCTGCTGCGGGCCAAGGAGATAGTACTCGTCATCTCAGACAGCAGTCACAGTGACACCGTAAAGCAGGTGCTAAGTGTGCTTGAATGGAGAAGCTCAAGTTTGGAGAAATGAAATCACTCGATCAAGTGGGACGCTGTGTAGGTAATAAAACCAGTGCTCCCAAAAGGGCGACCTGGTTCCACAGCTCTCCTCTGCCACTGTGCTGGCCTCCCTGTCGGTGCGCTAGCTAAGTGTGACTGTGACTCCTAATAACAGTCGAGCCAGCTCGAGGCATGGTTCTTTGCAGAAGCGCCCAAGAAACAAGGCTGAGCGCAGCCACCTCGGCAGCACGGTGAGGAGTGTGCCCTTCTGTGAGTGAACTTTGTAGTGCCTCTGGAAGGTGACTGTGGTCTTTTAAACACAGGAGCAACTTTGCAGCCAGGCCAGTGCCCATTTGCCCGTCCACACCAGCAGCCACTGGGCGCCAGTACTGCACCTCACACACTGCAGGTCCTGACTAAATAAATACACGCCAAATGCCTGGATGGATACAGGTCTCTGGAATCCTACAAGTGCACTTATTGCCCTTTGTGTCAAGGAAGACATCAACCTGTGTCCACAGGAGAGATGCTGTGGAGTCGGAAGTGCTTTAGTATGGCAGTACAGGGTGCGTGCTGCAAGACAGATTGCAAGTCTATCTTCAAAATAACATGAGGGGCAGGGATATAGCTCAGTGACATAAATGCCTGCCTGGCAAGTGCAAGGTCCTGAGTTTGATCCCTACTACAGCAAGCAAGCAAGCAAGCAAGCAAGCAAGCAAGCAAGCAAGCAAGAACATGAGCACACAGTTTCTGGGCTGCTGATCCCAACAGGGGTGACTGCAGGCAGCTCCGTGGCCCTGCTTACTGCTGGCTGATGCCATTCTTCCCCATCAGGAGGTTAGGTCTCCTCTGAAACGCTTTTGCTTTGAACCTCATTTTATTGGCAGCACAAAATACTTGAAAATCAAAAAAGAATGAAGGGAAGGAAATGCAAACACAGTGATTTTATGATTCACATAAAGAAGAGCCATAAAAATATTATTTCATGACCGCAGTGCCAATGACTTAGTGCAGTGACTGGAGTTGGCTTCCGCTAGAACTGCGAGCGAGAGCTTTGTGTGGGCTCTGGGGCTTGGAGTCTGGCCAGGCCAGGCCTTTCCCCTCGCCCTGCCTGTGAGCAGCGGCAATAGAGGGCAGAGCTGCTGTGGAAGCTTCCCCAGCCACGTGACTGCTGGTGTGGTCACTGGTGGAGTCACCCGTGTGACCGTGGAGCCTGGGGGACAGAGTTGTGACTGTGGGTTTTCTCCAGGGCCAGCCTGCTTCCCAGGTACAGGCCTGCCCTTCCTGCAAATACTTGTGGCCTTGAGCTCCGCGAAGCTGGCGTGGTTCTGGTGTAACAACACAGAACAACATGAGCCAATTGTGCGTTCTCTTCTCAAGCATCTTGAGTGGCCTGGTGGGGGCTGTGAAGCTACCTGGGTGACTCAGTCTTGGTTCTAGATGAGTTATAGAGTGTCTGTCCTTCCTTGACCTATGATGTCTCCATCTGTAAAATGGGTACAGAAACTACCAGCGTCATAGTCTTCTGCCATAGCAAACCCCACAAAAGGAGTATGCTGTGCAAAATGGTGACCATTGCTTAGAGGATCCTGAGGCATTCCAAGCAAATACCATAAAGCCATTCCTATAAGGAACATCAGAGTTTCACACTCTAGGATATTTGGTGACAGAATTTTTTTCATAAATGAAGAGTGATTAGACCCTCTCCCCTCAGTTTTCCCATGTACGATATGGAACAATATTAGCACTTATTTGTGAGGAGACATGAGGTTTGCGGCCAGGGCTTTAGAGTTGGCGTGTCGAGGTCAAATTTTGGTCCTACCACTGGCTCCCACTGGGCAAATGAGCCTAAGTTCCCTGGTCTTTAAACTATGAGCAAATCACTGTGCCCAGGATCATTGAGAAATTTGAATGGACCGGCACGTACAGCGCGGCTGGTAGCACACAGAAGTGCTCCGCAGGGGACCATGCCGCCTTCACAGCACTGCTGAGGAGCTGGAAGTATTAGGCAACTGGGTATTGAGCAGCACTCTGTTCGTGAGACGTGGTAGACACAGGAGCTTCTCCAGGTCAGGAATCCTTGTGTCCTGAACTGAATGGTTCTCGGTCTCTTCTTCCAGGTCATTTCCCAGACTCTGTCTCCAACCTGGAACCAGATGTTGCTGTTCAATGACTTGGTGCTGCACGGAGATGAGAAGGAGCTGGCGGAGTCCCCACCTGTCGTGGTAGTGGAGCTGTATGACAGCGACGCAGTGGTCAGTGTCTGCCAGGCCCGTGCCTCACTGCATGCACCTCACTGAGAGCCTTCCAGCGTTGTTGTAGTGGTCATGGTGGTGGTGCTGATGCTAACAACCAAACCCAGGGCCTTACACACTCCTGGCAAGCCCTCCAACACTTTCCATACTTATGATACAGCCTTGTTGGCTGGGATGCAGCCATGGACCACCTCACCTGGATGACTTAAAGTAAATCAAGTCCTGTCATTGTTAGTGGCCGGGACCCAGGGCCTAGAGACCAAACTGACTCTATAAAGCTGTGGATGTTTATTTGCTTTACTCTGGGGCTCTCTCTTACCATTTCTTTTAAATTGTAGTTAAAGGGCTGGAGAGAACAGCTCAGCAGACTAAGTGTCTGCTTAGGCAAGCGCAGGGGCCAGGGTTCGATCACTGGTACCACATGCCACACTGGCCCTGTCCCTGGGCACGCTGAGCCAGCCACTGAATCCAAGCATGATGATGCACACCTGTAATTCCAGTGCTGGGGAGGCTGAAAGCAGGAGGGTCACTAGGAGGGATTTTTTTGTTTTTTGTTTTATTGGCTGGCTCAGGATGCCTTAAGGGTAGGTCTAGTAAGGCATGAGGATTTTTTTATTTTATTTTATTGAGAAATAAATAGCAATGAGACAGTTTCAAAACTGATAAATAGGACAGTTTCAATAATTAATACATTGTACACTGTTATCTTCTTAGTAGTTATCCATAGCACAAGAAGCAGACAGGATATCCTGTCCAAACACTATTACTACAAATCTTTCTTATTGAATTAAGAGAAAGTAGCTGTATGTCTATCCTAACTATTCTGTATATACAAATACAAAATGGTCTTTTCTTTGTATCCCCTTTTTTTGTTTAGTCCTGTCAGAAATGGGTATTCCATTGGCATCTAAATACTATAGGTGCGTGAATTCAGCAAAACAATCCAACACAGTCCAGCAGTCCACAATAGCAGTGGGTTATCTGCAGAAGTTGTTGACTTGAACCTTTCACAACTCAGCATATTAATATGGCTTTACTTTATGTACCTCATTTTTATACTTTTCTGCTGGATGGTTAGGACCAAGACAAAGCAAGACCTATATAACAAGAAATGTAACTTTTGTATCGGATAAGGTCAGCCAAGTCCCTCAGGATTTATCCTGAAACCCTGTACCGTAGTTTGTAGATCCTTTGTCAGTGTCAGCCATGTGGATGAATCACGGCCATTTCTTGACCAATTTGCTCTCTGAGGCATGAGAATTTGGGGATCAAACCACAGTATCCTGAGCCTGACTCCCTTTGTTTAAGCAGGCAATTAAACAACTGAGCTAAAGGGCAGGCCCCCAAGAGGATCACTATGAGTCCAAGCTGTGTAGTGAGTCCCTACACAAAATAAAAAAAAAAACAAAAAACAAAAAAACTCACCTAAATTGGAATTAAAATATGACCTAGTGAGCAGACTGCATCCAACACACACTTCCTCAGAGAAGTGGTGCTCATGCGCAGCCACACACAGCTGTCCTCATCCCAGTGTCTCATATCAGTGCTGTTTAGTAAGATCCTTGTGGGCCTCACCCAGCAGGAAAGGAAAAGATGGGCACTGTTGTCGACCTGCCTTTGTAATTGGGTCTCTCCCGTGCTTGGTGATGGCTTCCAACATGGCAGCAGCACATTTACCACTCACTGTATACCCATCAGCCCTGACTCCACCCACTGCCATCCACCAGCCCCGCCCCCACTCACTGCCATCCACCTGCCTTGACTCCGCCCATTGCCATCCACCTGCCTTGACTCCACCCAGTGCACACCCACCTGCCCTGACTCC